CCCCCAGGTAAACATGCAATCCAGAGACTGATGGACAGATGGGGATATGTTAGCTGTGATCAGCCTGTTTTAGTTCCTGGCTATGTTCTTCACAAGGTTCTGCTCCTGAGCTGAGAAAGTGGTATGGCATTGCGCAAGCAGATCTTCATAATCCCAGTGCTGTATTGGTTGAAAAATAAGTTGGAGCCTCAGCACAGGTGATAAGTTTGTTGTCACAGTGGCTGGTGTGGATCCAAAGGAGAGTAAGAAAATGAACCGTGGAGGGTAATGCCAGAAATGTGGCATGAGCAAATGAAAGATATCCTACTGCCATTCAGTTTAGTTGTCAAAGTTTAAGACAGGTAATTGTTCTGAAGAGTTTGGGTTATATAAAGCTACATGCTTCCAAATCAGTAGAGGTGTTTTCTCCTGGGTTGACCAATATTAGCTGACATTGTGGCAGCTGGCCCCTCTAAGGAGCAAATCCACGTTCAGTAAAGCTTTTGATTTGTTAATGACGTGGTTGCAGTTGTAAATGCACAAGATACTATGCTATTGGGAACCATGAACAGCACAGGGCTTGTAGTCAAAAGCACTGTATTGAGAAAAAATAGCCAAGCTTTTGGGCATCAGACCTTTCTCCATGTTAGAAACAAAAGCAGTGGATGTCAAAGCTAGATAGAAGCTGGGGTAAAATATTTGGAGTCTAGGGAGGAGAGTATCTTACTGCTATTCTCAGAAAAGATATGTAGGTGTTATCTGTGGAGTGCAGGGGACATAAAAGTAGCTTATGGACATGGAGAGAAATTACAATCTCCTATAAAACTTGAGTCCAGTTTTCCCCAGCAGGATTACCCAGATGTGGGACCATACTTGTTAGGATATAAGGTATTTTGTATAGGATTTTCTGCTTTCAGTGGGATGTTTTTAAGTCTGCAATGAAAAGACTGAAAATCACTTTGTTAGAGCTACAAGGACAGACATGGGTACAAAGACCCAAGGCGAGTACACCTGTGACTGAGTGGAGAGTGGAGAAGCAGAGACTATTACTTAAATGTTTTGGGGGTTTTTTGTTATTACTTGGACATTTTTTTGCTTTAGAGTGATGAGCATGGCATGAACTGGATGAAACAAATTGAGAAAGGTGTTACAGTCTCTGGTGTTAGTTCTGTAAGCAGGGCAAAGGATCAAATACATGGCAAATTTTACAATTGCTAGGTTTTATTCAGAGAAATAATTGTAACAGAAACTTTCTCTGTTTAATACTCTATGAGGTGAAAAAACTTTTATTTTTTATTGATCAGCATATGTCATTTTTACTTCTGGCCAGCATCAAAGAACTGACAGCCACAAAGACCTGTATAACCAGCAAAGGAACTGTTGAACATTTTCAGTGTATTTGATGCAATTATACCAAAACCCTTTAAAGACAAACTGCAGTCGGTAATCAAACAGGAAGAATATTTTAAGTAGTTGTTTTCTTCACTTATTTTAGTTTGGGAAGAAGAAGGTGAGGAATAGGGAAGTGACATTTAAAAGTATGGAGTAAAAATTTCCCCTCTGCTGAAGTTAGTAAAAAGGGACATCAGAAAGAAAAAAAATAGTACTTCTATACTTCCTTCAGATGTTTAATGAAAGAGGGATTTAAACCCTATGTTTTGGGAGACTGAGAACAAAGATACGGGAAAATTACCCCATTTCTTTTCCATAATTTCATCTCTCCTGTTCTCAAATGGATTCTTGGAGCTACGGTAACACAAGCCAGAAGTACATGATCTGTCATTGGATTATCTGGGACAGAGGATGGTGTGATAGGGGACAACCTTGTAAGCTAAAATTTTAATTATTTCACACTGGCTGCAAGCTATAGGTGTGCCTATACATAATTAAGAAATTGACGCTCAGTATCTTGTTTCTGTCTCTGAGTATGGAATTACCTTTTCCTAAAAATCCATTTTTGCCTTTTTAAGTGTACTTTTAAATAAACTGTTAGCAGTTACTATTCTATATAAATTCTTCTGTTTCAAACCTGCTCACATTAGGATTGTAGATACCTAACTTTGTATAAAGTCATTTAAGTGAATTTTTCTACGTTTTTATTTTAGTGGCAGTTCCATTATATTGGATACCCTGTAGAACCAGAAACAAAATATTTTGTCTATGCTTGCAATCTACCTCCATCAAAATCTTATTTGCTAACTACACCAGGTAATTTATCAAGCATTCTCTGCTAAATGATACTACTATTTTTTTTTCATACATGTTATTGCACAGATTTCCTTAATAAGGCCAGCAATGGTTTCTGTTTTCAATGTGTCTTGAAATCTGTCTGGCACCCTATAGACACATAGTCATCAAAGCTGAGAACTCAAATGCAGCCTGCTCCTTAGCAGTGGATAGTTTTGGTTTGTTTGGTTGTTGTTGTTTTTTTTTCCCCATGCTTGTTTTGTTTCTGTGGTTGCTTGCCATTTATCTTTCAGCAACAGAGGAATGGATATTGTTTTTCAAAGGAAAAAAATGTTCTGCTGTCAATTTTAAAAGAATTTACACTTTTAGCTGTACAGTTCTTCAATGTAGTTCTTAATAAACATTAAACAGGAATATTCTTATTTCTCTAAAATTGTAAGGCAGCCTGTAAGTTTAGAGGTGCTTTAAAGAGTTTTGCTTGATGACTGTAGAACTGGTGATCTATGTCTCCACACAAAGACAAGCACCAGCTTGGTGCTTGTTTCCAGGACACCTGTCCACCAGAAGAGTGGGTGTCCTCCTTATTGGTGAGAAGGCAGCTCTGGTCATTATACCTCCCTTCAAGATTTGACTTCTCGGGTCAGGATCAAGGCATTGCTGCTGTGTACGTAGTACTCTTCCATACAGAGGACGTTCCCCAGCTAGAAGGAGTTGAATTAGCTACAGTTTGAAATAGGTTGTATCTGTTTATTTTGTAGATTTAAGCATGCAGATGTGTCATCAGCGCTAAGTACCACTGTTTCAAAATCTGTTGGAGGTTTAACAGGCTGGATATTTTTACCACATACCTTTTCACGCAACAGTGACTGAACTCAAACAATTGCAGGGAGTCCCTGTTGTAACTAACACTCCTGACTTGCCCCTTCAAAAGCACAAACGCTCTGTTAGGTCATGAGGTGCCATTTGCAGGGTGTACGGTGCCTATCACAAGCACAGACAGGAGAAATCCATTTCGTCACTTACATAGTTGTTAACGAGTTTAAACTGAAAACTTTTCAACCCTCAGGGAGTTTGTGGACTCCAAATACAACTGTTTGTAAAACAGAGACAGAATTAGAAGTGAATTTCACAACAAGCAGTCTTGGGCTTGAATATTTAATACTGTTTTATGAGTGTCAGAAGTATGAAGTACTTCTTAAAAAAACTGTGGAAGCAAAGGTAATTTTCTGTTAAATTGTAATAAATTAGAAGCATAGTTCTCTAAGTTCTCCTTCTGTATTAACACAGCAGGAGGCATATGCATCTAGTGAAGTCAGATCAGCAGAGCTGGCCAGCAAAGACCGAGGTGGAATAAAAGAACTGTGGCTGCTTTCCAAAGAGCTCTGCTCCACTGTTACAATATATTATTCTACTTTTTGAGATTATATTCTTTACTTTTAAGACTGTTTTTGAACAACATTATTTTGTCCAGAGTGAGATTAATCAATGAACATGAAAACTTAAGAAAATACATAGTAACTAGTAATTGGCTTCACTAACACGAAACGCACCTTGCTTGTAATTCCTATTCACTCTGTTTTGTTATATTAGACTAGTAGATTTAAAGATAAATATATGCACTATCTAGAATTCTGGTGTTAAGAATATGTAATAGTTTAAAGCCTATTAAATGCAATTTGAAATGCAATTAAATATTAAACGTGATTCAACTTAGTAATGACTCCTTTTGTGATAAATACCTTTGACTTTTTGTAGTCTCTCCCACACTCTTCTTTGGGATTTCATTATCAGGTAAATGAAACTAGAATTTCTGTGAGGATACCAGGGAGTGATGAGAGCACTGATATTTTTGTAGAGCTAAGTAACATTTTTTTATTAATTTTCAGTGAAAAGAGTATTTGCTTTTATATAGTTAATCGATGTAAAGATGGTACTAATTCTGACTAACAACCAAGACACAAGCATAGCACTGTGTATCACGTAATTTTTTTTAATTAAGATTTTTTTTACTTACGAATTGGTAGATATCAGGCCTCTTCTGTGGTGCTAATATAAGTCTATATTGTTCTGTAGTGTCCCCGTATAAAGCCTAAAGCAAACACTCCTGATACGTTAACACTGAAATTTCCTAGATTCTTACTTATCTCGTGAACCTCTCTTCATTTTTGTTATCTGTATCAGTTGTAAGAAACTATCTTTCAAGAAAATGGGGTAACAGTTTTAGAAAACACAGTGCTCCTGTCAGGAGCCCAAACCATAGTACAGAGAGCAATTCATTCAAGGAATTAATGTGTGCAGAAATCCAATTTAACTGTGTATTGGAATTATTCCGTGTTGGCTTTTTTTCCCCAGATAACTCCTTACTTTGCTAAATGTGGATATGACTGCCCAAGGCCTACAGAAAACCTAAAAAATCACGTGCAGATGAAAGCAAATGGTTAGCTGGGTGTTCATCACTCTTGAGTCAATAATTAATATAAACTAAACAGAAATTGCTCAATGTTTTCTGTTGCATTGTATCGTGTATATTCAGCAGATTTTCCCCTGTATGTTTGCAAAAATCTGGGAAAATAAATGGTTTGGTGTACAGATATTATTCGAATGTTGAAATCCTGTTAAAAAGCGTATGACTTTGGTCTTAGATGACTTTATGTGTACTGGTCTTGGCAAATTTTGCCTTTCATCTTCCTCTTTAAAAGTTGAAGTTTTCTGCTTAATACAGTAATGCTGCAGTTCAGCAATCAGTTGTTTTGTAACTACTGCTCATGGTAAAACTCTAAACAAAAGGGAAGAGAGGAGAACAACTGATGAGATGTCAGGCTGCAGGAGGGGGTACATTGCAGAAACATGGGAGGAACTTGAAGAGAGCAGATTCAGACTGATAAACATCTTTTCTTTCAAAGTAGGGAAGAAAATTAAGTCACTTAGTCAACAGCTCTGTAGTTCTCAATGTGATTATTAACTATTTTGCATTACCTTTTAGCAATTTCTCTTCTATGTACAGATATTGGAAATGCTCATTTGAATAATTCATTAACTGAAGACAGCTTTTTCAGCTGTGCAAGACTTATTTTAGAGATCCTCTTTTAGAGATCCGTAAATCAATTCAGCTGGAAGATTTGTCTGTTTTCTCCTTGCTGCTCTCCATGTGATGGTATGTATTATTGCTGCAGTAGCTTGCATCATCACAGACCAAAGTAAGAATTCTCACTTTTTTGAAATTTAGTGAAATTGCCGTTCTTTGAGTTTTGCTGCAAGCATCCTTTTGGATAAGATCATATGAAAGAGACTACCTTTTAGGTATCATTGCAATAGGAACTCTCAAGTTTGTCTAGGAAACTCCAGCTGTGACTACATTAATGTTTAGTTTAAATCGGTATTGTGCTTTTGAAGGGAATTGCCCATCGGCTTCACTATGGTTTGGTTCGTGTTGCAGGGTGGTTGAGGAGTGCAGCCTTGATTGTCTCAGATGACATTAAAGTGGAAGATGTGCTCTAATGAATCTAACATAGTCCAACCACTAATGTGTAGGCAGGCCACAGGACTTGACCAGGGCTAGGCTGCAGTAACTCCCCTGAAGTACTTAGTGCAGAAGTCTGTTCCTTGGCCCCAATTGTTTTGCTTAGTGGTCTCTGCCATTCTATCACATTACCTGCTAATGTAGGCCTAGCCTTTTTCCTTCGGTTGTGTTTTTCCTAAAGGGAGAGTAAATATTTAATCTCTTAAACACTTGTAAACAGTGAATCATTTAGAGTGTGGGCAACTTTTGGTGAGTGCTTTCGTCTTTAGCAAACATCAACTGGAGTCAAGTAAGCATTTTGCTGTTTAATTTTTGTTTGCTTAGCACTTTTTTCCACTGTATTAGTTTTGCAGAGTGACCAACAGATTATGTACCATGCATCTGCTACCCTCTTCTCATCAGCCTGTAATGCAAGTCTGCTCCCTTGGTGTCGCAGACCTTAAACTGTTTTAGCCACTGAACACTGCTTTGCTAAATTATTTTCAACATTCTTGGAGGGATGAAGTGCAGATAAGTTGCCTAAGTTGGATCTATTTCATCATGAAGATGGGAATCTGAGCTCTACATTCTAATTTTAGTTTACTATTTTTGCTTTTCATACTTTTATGCAAAGGTATCTAATTTTTTTTCTAGGAAAATAGGAAAAAGTAAGAGGCACAGAGTCAACCCCTCTGTACCAATTTAGAATGCCATTCATGTTTTGTTTACATTGTTTCTAGAAATACTGACATTTTACGACAGCATATGGTGTCCTTTCTGTTCAACAGATTTATTTAGGAAGTGATTCTTCCACCAAGTGCAGCTAAAACTACATGTTAAAGTACCGGTTATATAGCTAGAAGCAGTGTGTTTTCATCTATCTAGAAGCAGTGTGTTTTCATCACATTGTCTTCTTTTGCTGAACTCCTGCATGAGGGCTGCCAGACTGATGTTATTCTAGCCATGTGGGAGAAAAGGAGAATTGCTCAAAAAGGTCCTGTGCCATCACTTGCTGCTCAAGAAGCGGCAGCAGACCGGGTGATTTTCCTAGTTCAAACGCTACCACTGCTGTATGTGATGTTTCTTGTAAAAGCATGAGAAACCACAATAACATGGAAAATATGTTCACTCTTTCAGTTAACCTCTTCTGCAGTGACATGACAAATCAGTCCTCTGTACAAAAACATATAGTTTCTTTCAATAACGTGAGTTCACAAGACACTTGACCAAGTGCTCTGGACTTCTGTCCAAAACGCTGTCTTATCAAGGCCATTTCGGAACTTCTGCAGAGACCTTTCTGTTTCACGCAATGCGGTGCATGGCAAGAAATAGGAAATTAACAGGTGTCTGGATATTGAACTCTAGTCTTACAAAACTGAGGACAAAATCATCAATAGCTGAACAAACATTAGGGCACTGTAGCAACTGGGCCATATTTAATACAAGCTTACTTATTTGAAATAAATCCTGAACAAAACATTTCTAAGTTGTGGCAAACTAAGAAGTGAAATTATAAGAAATGTGTGCTCAAATATAACTATCAGTCAGGAGTAATTGGTTGTGTAAATACCAGAACACCATCCATCAAGTAATTCAGAAGTACTGCTCTCCTCTGTATGGAGTTTGTGAAGTTACTTGATAGGAGCCTCAGGTGCAGTTAAGCAGAACAGGTTTTCCAACATGACTTCAAGGCTGTTACTTTGTTGAGTTACAGTGTGCATTTACAGCATGTTTGATATTCTGTTGTAAGAATAATGTAGCTTTTAAAGTAGAGTAATTTACCCTTCACTGTGTACAAGTGTCAGTACCCACTGATGTGAAATTGTGAAATGTTTGCCGTGGAGAACCATCTGGATACCAATAAATCTAAACAAGATCTTTGTATATATGTACTTTCTCTTCTGCATCACAATCACAGGACTTTAAAAAAACCCTCCATTTCTTCTAAAACAGAAATTCTGGACCCTGCTCTCGAAGGGAATGCTCCCCTCTCCCCCCAAAAAACAAACCCAGCAATGGCATCTAATCTTGCCAGAAGTAAAATTTGAAGTATTGTATGCTATCTTCAATAAAAAAGAGCACAAAGGTCCTAGTCTTAAATAAAACACAGTAACGTAATCACAGCCTGCAGTAAAATACTTTCAGATAAGATTGCAGCATAATTTGGGTGGAAATACCCTTCCTCTTTAGAACTTAAAAAGGAAGATTAAAAGGAAGTCAGTTCTTTCTTGTGTGCTTTGTAGAAACTATATGCATTGATCTTTGATATTTATTATATTGTTATATTGTTACAAGTGTTTTAATCTATAATTGCAGATATGGATTTGAGGTGTGATCTGAGGGTGAGGGAAGCCTTCATTACAGCAGAAAAAACCCAACAAATAGCGCTTCTTTAACTAAGGATTTTTTGTTGGGAGAAAAAGCCCATGTGCCAGTACCACAGGACTGAGATTGGTGCTGGCTCTATAAAAATGCATCTAGTTCACCTCAGTGTATTATATTGGATTTTATAAATAGGGAGATAAGTGGATAACTACCATGGGATAACGAAAAGCTAGAAAGAGCTTTTGATGGTGAGAACAGGCAAGAAAAAAAATACTCCACTTTCAAATTCTTAAGTCTTTCCACTGAATAATATAATTTATTATATAAGGAAAATACCAACATCAACTGTAGTTTGGGTTCTCCATTTCACTTTTTCCATAATGATCTTTTATATAATAATTTCATCTCCTGGTAACACTAGAGTATGAATCAGAATAAGGCATTAAACCCACAGCCTGCGCTCTTCAGCTATTGCTTCTGTGTACATGTTTCTGGAACGACTCTTGGCTTAACATCTAGCACAGCAATATTTTATACCTCAAATTCCCCCACTGTGCAATTTTAATATACATAACCTATATAATATAAATGTAGCTAATTTGGAGATTACTGTGATACTCTGTACACAGAATTCAATGCATACAATTCAAAAGATGCTGAAGACTTTTGCACCACTTCTGGAAAAAATCTCAGTTGAAGTTACATTGTAATAAAATACAAAAATATATATCAGCAGAAGATTAATGCATCTGCACTGGAAAAAGGGGGCATTTGGGGAAAGGAATCCTCAATTAATCATGTTCCACTGTAAACATCTCCATTACCATACGAATGCAGCTCGCTCTCGTAACATTCTGACACCAAATCGCTGCCATTCTCGCTGATATATCCATAGCTCCTGAGTTGTATCAAGACAGGCTAAAACTGCACCTCCTTTCCAGGCAATCAAGCGGGGATCCATATCCTAAATTCAAAACACAGTTTGTACACAATTACTGGTGTAAATTTGGATAGTTCTCAAAATTTGTATCCTCATTTTCCCAACAGTGTTCACCACTTAGAATCTCAGGGGTTAAGGGAGGAGAAAAGAAGTTTTTAAAAATTATTCAGGAAAAAGCAGTGAGATAAAAATATGGAAAGAATATTTAAGTTGTTTAGAGGAGTCATTTTTTTTTAAAATGCCTTCTAGGCATGTCATGAAATCCTGCCCTCAGCAACAGAGGCTCTGAAAAGTACTCGAGTTTTGATTTTACAAATTTTGCTTGATGAATGCCAAATGAAAACTGCTCTTTTAATGCCATACTTTATTTACCTTAATAGTAATGAAAACCCCCTAACATTTCTTGCTGACCAGACAGGTTAACATCATGGGCCAGTGCTAACTCCTTCTTTAAGAATATGGCCTTTAGCCAACAAACACTTCAGCTCAATACTAGTAACACTCTTGCTATACCTCTAACTTCCTGCCTATAATTGGAGAGTGCTATGTTATAACCTGAAAGCTCTCCTAAATCTCCTCAGATGTGCAACCAACCTGTGGTTTTGAAATAATTTTTTTTTTTTAATCTTTTGATGATCTCAACCAATCATAGTTTATTAGCCATTTAGCTATCCATTAACAGTATACCTTAGGTCTTGTGATGACTTCAACATTTTCAACAACTCTTCTAAAAGAAGGTGGCATTTTGTTGAGAATTCGGTGTTGAAGAAACTCTTGAGCTTTATGAAACATAAGGCCTCCTCCCACTACTAAGATGGAGCTGTACATCTTCTTTTTTGTATCATCAGATGCTGGAATGAATGGATATATAGAAATAGATCTGTTTTTTAAAGTTAATACAGCTAAATAAAGTTAATACAAATAATATCCGTATTATAAAGAATTAGTGCAAGTTGAACCAGATAGAAACTAGTGTTTGCTTTTAAAATTATTTTTCTGTTCCCTGGAGATTCAAAACGTCTAGCTCAAGAAACCTCAACAAAGATGCAAGTATAAGGAACAGCGTAGGTACTCTAGAGATGATGAAAACATGTTACTTTGGTAAAATAAAGCAAGTTGCCATAAATCCACACTGACTGGCATGAATATTTTACAGAACTGTACAAATGCAACTCTTACCACAGCAGTCAATACTATGAAGAATGGCTTTGTCAAGGCCTAAGGCTTTGCCTTCAAACTGAGAAATAGCTGTTTTCCTGGACATGTGTGCAGTTAAAGGTTCCTCTGAATCATTTCCAGATATCATACAATCACTCTGGGAAGATCCCAGTTCCACGTCTTGTGGGTAGATCCTCTCTGAAATGTCTGAGGCTTGGCCTCTCAAGTCTCCCTCAAACGCACCAGGCTTCGACATAGATTTTCTATCAGCTGTAGCTTTTGCAGACTTAAAAACGAAAAAACAAGTTGAACTACAAAAAATGCAAAAAATACATTCAGCAGGTTACACAGCAATGAAAAGACTTAACTAAACACCACTGTACTTCTCGTTACCTTTTTGCACAGAAAGGTTAAGCATTGTATTATTTCATTTTACTCCTCATTTTCCAAGTAAGGGTTTTATTTTGAACTCTATCAGATGTTACCAATGCCATAATACGAACCCCTCTTAAGACTCTTAAAATAAACAGTTCTAATTAAGCATTGTCTAGACATCTGTAATTCCTTACTCTAAATTTATTTTTTAATGCTTCTGGTCCAGATAACAAACTTTGGTTTCTGAGATGAGCTAATGAATCCTGATTTTATTCCTCAATTAAATAATACTTAATGAAAAATAAAACGAGCATTCACACACCTGCTCCTGCTTACTTTGTGTGGCTAGCAGATAATGTTCATCATGAGGATCCTCAGGGTCACCCTGTGACCTGTGTTGCAAAGTGGTCATTTTTTGTCCAACAATTCCAAAAGTTGCTGGATAAAACAGAGCCATTGGAGCCTGAAGAACGAGAGATTTGACATGGTTTTACTACATAGTGTTGGGGAATTTTGTGTTTACTATAAAAAAAGCTTGTTCTATTTTTCTCACAATTGAAAATTAAATACACATTTCTTTCAAATAGTTTGAAAGGTGTCTTCAGCTTTGTATAATTTAAAAAACCCCAAACCATACAATTGTACGTGTCTGTAAGTGTCTTTACAGATTCAGGCATTGAAGTCCTGTGCACCCACTAGTGCTGCATTAGGCACATTTGTACATATAGGAATTAATTTAAAAACTATCAACAAGCAGATGTTAAGAAAAATCCCACAGGCTTAGTAGCACTGGACCGATCCAAAGTGTGGCCCTGAGCCTGAATGCTGAATGTAATTCTTGTAATTTAAGAAAAAAAAAATTAAAAAGTCACCTGTAATTTTTCATCTCCTAATCGGAACTGGTATAATAAAGCTGGAGAATCTGGATGACGAATCTGGAACTCATGGTCTTGCAATCCAGAAATATCCTAAGGTGAAAAACAATGTAAAAAAAAAATAGTTGTATCTTTTACGTCTCTCTATCAAGCTGCATAATTTATTTAAACTGTAGGAAACAACAAAAAGTAACAAAACTCTTCAGACTGTGAATTTTATTTACATATTCTTGCACTCTTTTAAAATTCTTTTCTTTGTAGCACGATCTGCCCAAACAGCTTTCTACATGTCTAAACCTCTAAAATGTGGGTTTGTGCAGAAAGAGACCCGCTGGCAGATCTTACAAAACTGATGTTGAAAAACTGCAAATATACAGCTACTATCAGCTTCTTTCAGAGATAAGAACAAACTTTGCAAGAGTAGGGATTCTTTCAACTAGAAGAAAAATAAAACAAGTTACAAATACTTCAGGTGTAAAGCTTCTTCAGCTATTGCCAGTATTCTACTGAGTAAATTATTACATTTTATTCCCTTTGCAAGCAATTGTAGACT